CATAATAATTATTATTTTTTATTTCTAACCAAATTTATATTTTGAAAATAAAAAAAATCAATTAACATCATAGAAAACCATCATCACGAGTTCATATAAATATCCTTATATTAAAAGTAATCCCCTAATGAATGGATGCTTGCCACATGGCGGAGTATGTTTTTCTATTTGTTTATAATTTTAATTTTATATTTTTTAATATTATTTTAAATGGTATGTTGATAAAATTATTTATTTATTTACTTTTAAGCCAATTTCTATAACGTGTATTCGATTTACTATAAGTTGAGTATTGGGTTTAATCTATCATTTTTTTTCAAAATTAACACAACCAACTATAATCTAAAAATCTCAAATCAACCGATTTTTATTCCTAAAATCGGTTGATGGAACCAACAAAACTTATGTCGATCCATTTTCTGATTAATCAAAGTTAGGATTAAGGATTTAGGAATAGGTTAAAGATTAAGGATTTAGGAGTTTAAGTCGCTCAGAAGATGTGGAGTTTTTGAAAACTTTAAAAAAATTTAGAGGATAGAGGCTCGAGAGGCTTCAAGGTCCATTTGAGCGGAGGATCTTTCAGAGGTTTCAAAGAAACCTTTGTAGAGGATATGACAATAGAATTTTGACTCCGGAGATATAAGACAACTTACACCAGAATTGGATTGAATTGAGAGTAGGATTTGTCAAGGCTTGTATAAACAAATTTCTTAAGATAAATTCACCGTCTCCTCAGAGCTTGAAAACGTTGGCCGTCTATTTTCCATGATACAACAAAAATCGTTCACCGGCAACAACATCACTCCGATGAATAGATCAAACTCAATTTATCTTTTTTTATCACTAGAAAAAAAACTAAAATTTTAGAAGGAAAAATTTGAATATATATATATATATATATATATATATTACACTAGGTAAAACTATAAGTTGTATAGATTTAAATAAATAAATAAATAAATGACTTAAATTTAATTAAAATTTATAACCTACAAATAAATATGTTTTAACTCGTAGTAAAACTATATCTCTTTTTATCTAAATCTCAAATCCTAAACCTTAAACTCAAAACTCTAAACCAAAAACTCAAATCCTAAAAAATATTATTTTATTATGAGTTAAAAAATATTTATTTATGGGTTATAAACTTTAATTAAATCTAAGCTATTTATTTAAATCTAATGACTATAAATTGATCTAAAACTTATTAGTTTTACATAATATAAGTGGATTATAATCCTTATTAATTAAATATTTTTAAAACATAAAAATAAAAATTATGTTTACTATTTTATTATATAAATTAAAATTTAATTTTTCATTTCCTATTAATTAATTTTAATTCTTTTACTTTTAGTTTAAATTTTAAAACATAAAATGTAAAGGAGGAAATAATGTAAAAACAACACGTGGCATCTAAATGGGCAAAAATAGGAGTACAAATTAGGAGTAGAGGATTAGTAATTTAGGGGTGTTTATCGAGCTAGTCGATCGTGAGTCAGTCAGTACTCGATTTGTGCTCGTTAAAAATTTTGTTGCTCGACTCGACTCGTTACTCATTAAGCTTGTTAAAATTATGCTCGACTCGTGCTCGTTAAAATTTGTTGCTCGACTCATTGCTCGTTAAAATTTTGCTCGACTCGTGCTCGTTAAGAAATTTTGTTGCTCGACTCATTGCTCGTTAAGCTTGTTACTCGCCTTGTTGCTCGTTAAAGTCATTGAATTTTTTATTTTATTTTTATAACTATAAGTAAAATCTATTAATACTATATAACTTCATATAAACATAAATTAATAAATTTAACAAAAAAGTGTCAAAAAAGTGTTTGAAAAAATTAAAAGTCTAAACACTAAAATAACAATTTATAAATACATTAAATGATAATTAGGGTTTAATTTTTGGATGTAGTTAAAAAATATTAATTTATAACTTAGTATTTTTAATTATTTATTAGAAAATTAATAGATTAATAATGTATATTTTTTATTATCTATTAATAAATTAGTAATTTTTTAAATGAAATATTTTTAAGATAACTACTAAAAAGTTATATAAAAAACTAACTAATTGCTCGCGAATTTAACGAGTCGTTTTCCATGCCTCTACCCACGTCTCTTAATCTAAAATGTTGACACGTGTTTATTTTAATTAATTGTTTGTTTTAACAATATATAATAGGTTTGTTCCTTCTTTTGGTTCCGTTTCAATTATAATATATGTGTTAAATTTTATTTTAATATTTTATGTTTTGGAATTTATTTTAAATTTTAACCATATTAAGATTAAAAGTCAACATAATAAATAAATAAAAATGTTAAATCAAGTGATAATAACATTTTATAATATTAATATATTTTTAATAGTTTTAGTAGTAATATAATATAATATATTTATTAATATTTCTATAATATTTTAGTATATTTTAATAAAAAAATATCAATTATTTGATTTTATATTTATATTTAATTATTTATATGAAGTTCAAACTTGAATTTACACTGAATTTTTTAAAATCAACTAAAAATAGGGAAAACAACTTTTTTTTTTGGATAATCCGTTTTCATTACCCAAGAAAGCAGAAAACTGCTACAAAGAACAGTTTAATACGTTAGCAGCAGGCATAAGCAATAGAAAAATCAGCTAAGCCTAACACAAAATCATAACAAACTATAAACAGCTAAATGCACAGGATGCCCCAACTTGCACAAAGGGCAGCATTCCTCGATTCCACTCTGTCAATAGAACAGCTGCTCAAATGGATCCTGACAGTGTCTTTAATATCCTCCAGGAGATCTTTCATCAACCTTGTTTTACCTCCAAATAGCATGTTGTTCCTTTCTAACCAGATGATATATGCAAATCCAGCCAAAGCAAGGTTCAACACTCTCACAATGAGAGATTTGTCTTTAAAGCAGTGAATAGCCCAAGCCAGCTCTCCATTCCAGCAGCTCACAAGGCGATTTATACCACAAAGGGAGAGAATAACACCCCACAAAGCCTTAGCTAACCCACACTCGAAGAAAATATGGTCCCGAGTTTCCGGTTCAATACTACAGAACAGACAATTTTCACTCTCTATGGCTAGTCCCATCCGCGCGAGTCTGATGCGAGTGGGGAGCCTATCTAAGACAGCCATCCAAAGGACAATACTGTGCTTAGGAATGCACCCAGAGAACCACACCAATCGGTGCCACAAAACCTTTGTTGTCGTGGTCCGCATGTTTTCCCAGATCTGTCTCGTCCTAGGATCACTGCCTGGACCAGTAACTAGATGAGATATAGCAGGCCTCAATTTAAGTAAGCATTTGAAACTCCAGGTGGCATTCAAAGGTACACTCATCTGCCAAAAATTAGCATCTTTTATCACGTAGGAGTGGATCCAGGCCACCCATAAGGAACCATCCTCTGCTAATAAACTTCTGACCAGCCTCGCAAAGCATGCTTTATTCCATCCACATAAGTCAAAAACACCCAAGCCTCCTTCAGATTTTAATAGACAAATCTGTTTTCAGCTGACTCGGGCCCCCTTAGCAGACACATCAGCGCCTTTCCAAAAGAATCGAGAGCAAAGTTGCTCGATCCTTTTGATCACAACAAGAGGCAACATGACCTGCTTGCACCAAAAACATGCAATGCTAAAAAGCACACTGCGCACCAGTTGTAACCTGCCAGCAAAACTCAGATGCCTATTAACCCAAAGGTTCAGTTTGGCCCTTATCTTTTCAATGAGGCATTGACAGTCCTTCTCAGTCAGCTTCTTGGTCACCAAAGGGATTCCCAAATATCTCACAAGTAATTTCCCTATTTTGAATCCAGTGATTTCTCTAATGTCATCACACATAGTAGTAGACATTCCAGCAACATACAAATCACACTTGCTGGCATTCAGTTTTAAGACCGAAAGAGAGTAGAATAAGTCCAAAACAGATTGAACACCAAGGATGGAATCAATAGATCCCTTGCAGAAAATTAATAAATCATCAGTAAAGCAAAAATGAGTTAGACCAATTTTCCTGCATTTGGGGTGGAAACTGAAAAGTCCCTTTTGAGCAGCCACATTCAACAAGCTAGACAAAACGTTCATGACCAGGACAAAAAGGTAAGGGGACAGAGGATCTCCTTGTCTTACTCCCCTAGCACCCTTAAAATAACCAACTAAGCAACCATTGAGCATAATAGAGTAGGCAGGCTTAGTAAAGCAAGCACAAATCCACCCAACAAATTTATCAGGCAAGCCTAGAGCACACAACACTATAGCAATAAAATCCCAACTCACGGAATCAAAAGCTTTTTGTATATCAATTTTCATGGCACACCTGGGGGATATACTCTTTCTATTATAGCCTCGAACGAGCTCTTGAGCAAGTAACGTATTATCAATGATGCTTCTTCCTCGGACAAAAGCAGTTTGATTTTTCGAAATCATGCTAGGAAAAATAGCAGAAAGATGTCTAACTAAGATCCTAGTGATCGTCTTATAGACCACAGTGCAACATGAAATTGGCCTATAGTCTTTTATCATATTGGGGTTCGAGACTTTTGGCACAAGGACAATAGTTGTACTGTTAAAAGCAGGCAAAATAAAAGAGTTATCGAAACAGTACCAAATGGCGGATTTGAAATCATCAGAGATAACAAGCCAAGCTGATTTGAAAAAGAAAGGATTATATCCATCAGGCCCAGGAGATTTCTCATTCCCTTGGCCCTAAATTGCCTCCCTTATCTCTATGTCAGACACTTCTCTGCATAATTCATCAGCAGCTCCCATAGGAAGAGTGTATTTCAGTAAATCTTTAATGGTTTCAACATTACTGCCCGTGATATTCCGTTCAGCAACCCCCAGTTGCCTCTGGAAAAAATCGATCACCTTATTTGACAAATCTTCAAATGTGTCCAATCTTTGCCCATCCTGATTGTAAAGTACCATAATTGTGTTTGATTTCCTTTTGCATGCGACCATAGAATGAAAAAAATGAGTCCCCTGGTCCCCATCATTAATTCAATCTGCTTTAGCTTTCTGCTTATAAAAGAGAAGCTCAGCTTCTTCAAGGGCTTGCAGCTCCTTGCCAATTTCCAGTTCAGAGGCGATGTTACTACCAGAATGAGCAGAATTCAGGTTAGCCAGCTGGATATTCATCAACTCCTCTCTCTTCAGCTTGACACGATTAGATATGTCATTGAAATATTCTCAATTTAACTCCTTGAGGCAGCCTTTAAGTCTTTTTAGTTTGTAAAAGATAACTTGAGCAGGGTTGCCCACAGCTGGAGCCTGCCAAGATTTCTCCACAATAGAAAGGAACTCAGAATGCTTCGCCCAAAAATTAAAAAATTTAAACGGCTTAGGCATTGAAGTAGGAGCCTCCTTATGGAACCAAATCAGAGCTGCACAGTGATCCGAGGAATCCCCGGGAGTCTGGAATTCCATCTCAGATTCAGAAAAAGCTTCAAGACAGCTCGAGTTAATAAGCACACGGTCCAGTTTGCGTGCCATGAAGTTGTCTTGTTGTTTATTCGACCACGTGAAAAACGGACCAGTGTAAGGATGGTCAAACACTCCCAAATCATCCACACAATTCTGAAAGTCAGAAATATCTACATTGGTTGCCGCATTTACAGTAGTCGAACTTTCCTCAGCGTTTAGGATGACATTAAAGTCTCCTCCGATTAGCCAAGGTAATTTCCCAACAGTACACCCCACAGACCTTAATTGATTTCAAAGTTGTCTTCGAGGGCACCCTTCATTTAAACCATAAACTGCAGATATAACAAACTCCTTCTCCCTAAAAGAACTCTTCAAAGAAATGCTCTGATCAAACACAGAAAGAATAGTGTAGTTTAAACTTCTATGCCAAAGAGTCCAGATGCGACCATTTGTTGAGTGATTGTAGTTGCAACACGAATCCCAGTCACTGAAATTCTGATGCAGAATATCCCCAGCATTGCTTTCCTTAACTCTGGTTTCAAGAAAACACAAAATGCTGATTCAACAGCTACGAACCCATTTCAACACTTTCTTTTGCTTTAAAGGGCTGTTGAAACCTCTAATGTTCCAAAAGCAAACTAACATGGAAGGGTGGATGAGGAAGAAGCACCACCTCTATCCTCTATTTTCTTTACCTTTTCAACATGCTCTTTCTTTTTTAGCTTCAGGTCTTGGATGATCTTAGTCACTCCAAGAGAAGCTACTCGTTGCTTATTACCTGAGTCATCAGTAACTAACAAACTCTCAGGGTCTATAGAGTTAAGGACTTCAAACTTATTTTTTGAACCTCCCATAGCACCTTTGCTACCACCCTTTGTTGGTCTACCTCTCCCTCTCTTAATGGGAGGATTACTTCCATTATCAGTGCTTTGTATATCCACATGATTAATCTCCAAAACTGCACCTTTCTCAGAATCAAGCCGATCATTTACCTTGGAATTCTTCCCCACTATATCTGCCAAACTTAAAGCAACCTGTTCAGAGTTTATGTCAACATTGCTTTTACAATTAGTATCAACAATTTTCCCCTCTGGATTAACACTTTGATCAATAGAGTTAGTGACAACTACCCCCTCCAGCTTCTCAGTAGGGTTAGTGTCAACTTTAACTCCTGGTGCAGCTGCAAATTGTTTCCTCTCTCTGTTAGGCTCATTTACTCTCCAGAACTGTTCTACTTTCTTCCCCTGAGGACATAATCTCACCGAGTGACCAAATTTACCACACACATCACAAGAAGCTGGTTTCCAAGGTACAATAACCTTGATACTAGCAATAGATCCATCACATAACAAAACAGCAACAGAGTCTGGAATTTTTGAATCCACAGAGATTTCAACACATACTCCAGCAAATTCAAGCCTTTCTCTTGATGCAGTTATTGAGTCCATATGCAAGGGCTTACCAATTGCACTCGCAATGTAGCTAAGCCCCTTTCTCGAAAATAGCTCCAAGGGGATATTATACAATTGAATCCAAACCGGCATTCGAGACAAGTCAAAATGCAATTCTCTCATGTTCGGTTCCCACTTCCTAAGGAATATGGGCCTATGTTGAACATGCCAGGGACCATTCTCTAAAACCCAGTCCCTGGCAGAAGCATTGACAAAAGAAAACACAAAGATTTGAGCCAGCCAGACTTACTTTCACCGAAGTAAATTTACCCCACATCAGCTCAATCACCTTCTGCAGAGTCCTAAAATTTGGTGGAGATCCAATAAATTGTCCAACTAGCGCAAATTGCCACTCCAGGATCCCCTCCTCAAACACAAATTTCGGAGGCTTCACGATACAAGAACCCTCCTCCTCCGCCGGGGAAAAAAATCAAGCTCCTGCTCGCTCCCTGCCGCAAAGAGCTTCCTCCAGTCCGCCTTAGCCTCAGCGGACATAGCCCAACAAAACCCCTCAAAAAAATTGAGTTACAGCAGGAAAGAATCAAAGGTTCGTCGTCACTCGCTACTAGGCCTGCTAGCATGCACGAAAAAAAAATACAATCTAATTTTAAAAGTATTTTATTTATTCTCACTATTACACATTAAAACCATCTTACATTTTTATTCTTTGTAATTGCAATGATAAAAATATTTTATTTTATGCAGATAAATAAATTACAAAAAATTAATGTCGTTATATTTAATTCTTCATTTCTTATCGGTGTATTTTAATCGTTATTTGATTAAATTTTAAAAGATTTCATATAAAATATTATAACTAACATAAAACAAAAGAAAATTATTATAATAATTTAATTTAATTTTTTATTTTTTTACTTTTAATATTTATATAATTAAAATTTAAAATAAATTCCAGAACATAAATTAATATTTAAACGATATCAAAAGAAGGAAAAACAGCAAACTTATTCCACGTTAAAACAAACAAGGCTTAGAACGATTAATTAAAAACAAACACGTGTCGATATTTTAGAGTAAGAGGGATGGCATGGGAAAGGGACATGAGATTTCTATTCAATTAATTGTACAAATTAAACTACAAACAAACGTTTAATCTGTCCGGATAATCAAAAAAATTATTAGATGATTTCGGATCACTACTTTATTCGTAATTTTAATTAATAATAATTTTTTATCTTATTTTTTAAAGTGAATATTCATCTTTTTTCTACGTATAAATAAAGAGTAAGTAATTATTTGAAAATTATTTAAAAAAATTCATACATACATACATGCATGCATGCATGCATAACCTATCACATACTTACATTCTCATCTCATCAGCACACCCTGTTTATTCTTTCTCATTTATTTATTTAAAATATTATCATCTATCTGTGATTGGGTAGTGGATCATCGGACAAGAAAGAATGCATGAGGGCAAGAACCTCACTGGGTTTGTTTAGAGGCACCATGTGACCAGCCCCTCTCACCGTCACCATTGTCAGCCCCTCGTACTCCACCATCCTCCCTCCGACCTGTAAATTTCCATCAGGTTTATTTTACAGCAAAAATTAAAAGGTAAACAACTCAAATCACCACTTAACTATAGGATTGGTGTTGATATGATCTAGGAATGGGCACGGGACCCTAACCTGACAGGTTTCGAGTGGAGGATTTATATTTTCGGGTCGAATTGATCGAAAATCTAATCCGACCGACCCATACCCATCGCTAGTATAACCGTTATACTTTTAGTTTTGATAATACGATCACATAACTATTTAAGTGATTTCAGTGTAGCCACTTATAATTAAAACACACGGCGTAGTTGATGTGAATGTTATTAACTAAAGACTAGTGAGAGGTCCACATCAGCAATGTGGTCATATTGTTAAAATTGAAAGTATGGTGGTCATATCGATATCAAACATATAGTTAAGTGGTCATTTAGTTGTTTACCCAAGAAATTCAACGCAGTATCTAGTGCCTATCACTGGTATTCTTCCATCCATGTCCACAATATTTAGACCAACCGATCACAACCCTTATTTATTTATTTTATTTGTATCGATTAGTGTTAATGTTTCGTTTTGCAATAAATTATTTTTTCGATAAATTATGTCGTTTTGATCTTATATTTAACTGTGATAATGGAGTGTACGAGACATGATCGTTACCTATACGTCCATATCTTCAGTTTTACTTTGATGAGCTTCTTGTATGTAGGCAGTACAGAAAAAACAGACATTATATGTATTCAAGATGGAATCTCTGTGAGGAAGAGAAATTCATGTCAGTGAATCAAACATAAAAATTAATGCTTCTGATAATGGAATCCTATGTTGCACTGATACTGATCCTGATACAGGTACAGGGACGGATATGAGGATGGGGACTGGACGAAAAACAATAATTTCTAAAATTATAAGGTACAGGGACGACAAGGGTACGACATATAAAAAAATTTAAAATTATAAATAGATGTAAAAAATCATAAATAAAGTCAATACTTCATATAAAATTGGTGTAATACTCTAATTTAACCCTAATTAAAAATCCTAACATTTGGGAATTGTTTTTTAAGGTGGTGTTTTTTTTACTAAGGTCTACAAAACTTTTATGTCTGCGCCGCGTAGACCAAGCGCAGACATTGGGCTTCGCATACCGTTTGTTTTTTAGAAGTCAAAAGCTCTTCTAAAGTCTGCGCATGGTCTGCGCGGCGCACACGGTCTTATATCTGCAGACATCTTCTAACCTCTTCAAGGAGGTTTTATATTTGATTTTAATTTTAATATTAATTTTTTAAATAAATTAAATATTAATTTTTTAATATTATATTATAGATATTAATTTTTTAAATAAATTAAATATTAATTTTTTAATATTATATTATAGATATTTTAAACTATATTTAAACTTTTTATAGAAAATGTAAGTATTTAAACCACATTGCTTAATAAAAAATGATTTCATTGTTTGATAATTAAGATTTTAAAATATAAAAAATTATAAATTATGTTTTTAAAATTTTAAAATATAATCACAATTAAATAAAAAATAATCATAAAATAATTTGATAAATTAAAAAATATTTTCTAAAAATATCATATAATTATAAAAATAAATTATGAATATATATTTAAAAAAATTAAAAGTATTACATAATTGCATATTTAAAAAACTCATATAATTTAATGATCATTTATAAATTTTATTCTATAAAACTTATAAAACTAATAATACATGTGATTATGTAAGACTTATAATATAATTAATAAGGTGGTATTTGTTTTTCTAAAAAAATTATTATTGTAGTTGTATGAATTATTTAAATTTCAGTATTATAAAACTAAAATTATTTAAATCTCAGTATTGCAAAACTCTTTTAAGTTTAAAAAATCAGTTTATTTACATTTCAGTTTATTTTAACAGTCTGCAGACGTTAAAAAAAAGTCTTGTTCTTGCAGACTGCAGACTTTTGATCCACCTCTTCTGCTGCAGATGTGGTTCGCAGACTGCAGGTCTTTTATCTCTACAAAAACAAACGCCACCTAAATCTCTAAAGTAATTTTGGTGGGCAATTTGAAAATACTGAAAAAATTGTTTCCATATTCGAAAGTCCTAGAAAGATCAGGAATCAACTGACAATTAGACCAAATATTCTTTAAATTCTAATCTCACTCTTCCCCGGCGTGGCCACTTCCTGTTTCTTCTTTTAATTTTTCCTTTCTTTTCAAAAACCTTGTACGACCGGTGATAGTCCCAGTCCCCGACCCTCTCTCTTTCTTTTCCCTTTGGCCGGCGATAGTCCCCAAAACGTCCTCAGGTCCCGGTCAAAACATTTCCGACCTTGTACGACCGTACCCCGCCACAATAGTACATCCTCAGTATATCTCCCAATCGTCCCCGTGCCAAGGACGTATCAAGTACTTGAAACGCCCTTCCTTTGTCTTCCCCGTGCTTCTTAGATGGAATCCTATAAATATTGTTAGTAATGTAAATAATGGGGACTATTTTTAGGGGCTGGTTATCATACGTAGGGACTTGTAAGAGTAGGTAGTTATAATTTGATAATTTTACTCTTTTACTACTCTTATAAAAGGATAGTCCTTCCCTCCAATTCGAATAAGATTGTTTTTAAAACAGTGACTTTTACCATCACGATATCATAAATAGTTATATTTTCTTTTAAGATGAAATACGCATCTAATATCTAAGCTATTAATTTTGATATGTTTTAATACCTAAACTTTCAATTTTTTTAAAACTATACCTAAAATTTAATTTTTGTTTCATTTTAGTACTCTGTCATTAAAAACTTTAGTCTTTCTTTCATTTTAGTAACTCATTCAAAATTTGAAATATATTATTTTTTTAACAATTTAGAATAAAACACCATTAATTTATAATACTTGCAGCTCACCCATTTCGCCCCTCTGGTGCCTGCATGAATAGATTGTTGAACATCTGGCCTGTTGAAGTACATTACTGCGTATTCAGGATAACATGGATCATAACCTTCTGCAAAGATCCCCACTCTCTTCAACCCATGGTTTTCTATCTGCGAAATGGCGTGGTTACACCCTTTAGCATCGTCTTTTCATTCATGCTACATGGACGGATACTTAAAGCACGAACACTTTCGTACTTGTTAAAGATAGATAGATAGATAAATCGATGGATGATCACCTTATTAGGTGTTGCCGATGATGTGGTGTTAAAGAAGGCATTTGGGGGAATAGATATTATAAATATCGATCTCGGGAGTATTTTTCGAAGACTCGGTTAACGACATCATTGCATTGGGTGGACCAGGGTGAAGCCTTGAAATCACGGACTTGTTTGGTTTGACGGTAGAGGTCATCCGGTATGACGGAGTGGCTCCAAGCATAGTCCATGATGCCGGTGTTGTCATAGTTGTCATCGGTAAATGGATTTCCTACCTGCAACATGTATCGATCGAGTGTGAGTTTATGGTATTTTATAATTCATGTAGCATATGAATGAATGAGAAATCGACGGCGACTTCGGTTGGTTAGGAAGATCGATTACTCGATCGGATTCCTGAGCCGAACTTGATGGAATTAAGAAATTAAGAAGCATATGAATGAATGAGAAATGGAAAGTCTCTTGGATGATGCATTGGAGCCCATTTGTGCTTCAAGTTGAGTAAACTCGCCAACAAGTTTGGTCCAACATCTATTTATGCACAAAGCAAAGGAGAAGGTGGGTTGCTCTTAGGGATGGGCATGGGACTCGAATCAGATTCAACCTGATCTGATTGGGTTTTTTTTAAAAAAAATTGGGTTCAGGTCAAGTCGGATTTTTTAAATGTGGTGTTCGGTTCGAGTTGGATCGGGTTTACGGTAAAAAATATCGGACCCGACCCGAAAAAATATATAATTTTACCTAATATATTTAGGAATAATTATAATAATATCCCTCTATATATATATTATTTTTTTTTAATTAAGTCATTATTTTTATTGAATAAAAATAATATTTTTATTATTATTTCGGGTCGAGTCTGATTTTTTAAGTTATATATCGGGGCGGGTTCGGGACGGGTGAAATCTTGTTTTGGTTGAGTCGGATCTCAAGTGGAGGATTCTTTGTTCTCTGGTCGGGTGGACCAAAAATCCGACCCAACCCGACCCATGCCATCCCTAGTTGCACTTGGCATAAAAGAACCGAACCAAGAAACTGAAATGGCTAAGATCCATTGGGAACCAAGTTTCAGTTGAGAACAAGATCAAGAGCACTTTCAAGTTTTGCTCTTTCATTCAGCTGTTTGTTCTTGATGGAACAGACAGGTGTTGAATCGTTAAACCAATTGTATTATCTTGTATTGTAATTGTTGATTAATGGATGCCATTTTGCAATCTCTTGAAAACTTCTCCGTTTGAGTCGACCTATGCACATAATTTGATGATAATCAGGAATGGATCGAGGGCGGACGGGTGGGTGCAATTGCTTCGGGAAGATTTAAAATTAACATATATTTTAGATTTTTCTATGTATTTTCTATTGAAAATCTATTTTCGTCCATAGGATTTTATAAGTCCATCCCTTTCTAAAATTTTAGAGATTTACCCTAAACATAAAATCTAACGTCCGTCCCTGATGCTAACAGAGGAAGAATGGAGATTATGTGTTGGTTTTGAGATTAAGATTTCTTCGCTCTAAACTTTCATCTCTTTCTTTCTTTAATTTGTAGCAAATGACTATTCAAGCAGAATTAATTTTACTTATGAACTAAACCCTTTTTATCTAGGGTTACTTATGTAAGTAGCTGAAGCTGAAGCTGAATTATTAAACCCTGTTCAGTGATTCTTATTCATATTGAATCTCTGATACCAATATCCTAGAATAAGTATGGATACCCTAACTACTCATGCATGCCAATTGATGAGCATGTTGTTAGTTCTCTGAACTTGAGAAAATTACCCTTGTACCACTAATAGATGGATTGTTTTGTATATAGGTCCTCGCCTATTGAAATTGAATTTCGTCGAAAGTTGACTTATGAGTTGAGATAAATGTGAGTGTTCTATACCATGCGTATGCTAGCTTCCATGATGTGCTTGTAAGGTTCAATGTGTGTCTAAACCTAAATTCTAAAATATAACTTGTTAATGTAAGACTAAAAAGTGACAAAAATCGGTTGTAATCGAAAATCTTCTTAAGAGTGTATTTTTTTAAGTTGGACAGGATAATATTTTCGGTTGCAACTGAAAATAATACATTCTTCAAAACATTTTTGGTTGTAAGTCCTAAATCCCTCGCAATGTTACTTTTTGGCTACAACCGAAAATGTTACAAATTTGTATAACTATTTAGGTTGAACAAGGTAACATTTTAGGTTAAACACGTCTTAAATTAATCTGTCGCACAACAAAACTACACGTGTCTAAATAGTTAAAAGTTTTAAATTCAATCTAAATCATTAACTTTGACTTTCTAATATAATGTTTATTGTTTGCGTAAAATCACCGAATCGAACATACGCATACCCGAATCTAAAATCTCTAATAATCTTTTTAATCATTAAGATCGTTTGATTCGTGATAATATTTCAACTTTGAACAAGAGGGGAGGGCCACTAAATCTCCGTTCTTAAATCCTTTTATCCTCCACTGTTGGGAGATAAACAAAAGTTTTCAATTTTTTTCTTGGGCAGACAAGAAGTGTAGCTGTTCTATTTGCTTATGGAAAGGCATATTTCAGAGATGTAATTTAGGCTTTATTACAAGAACAGATTTAAACCGGACATGTTTAAATCACTTTATTTAAAGAGCCAGAGTCTCAGCCTCTTAAGGCAAAAGTAACTGTACCGACTGTCTGGTGCTGTATGCTAAGAATTCCAAACAATGGAACTAATACTAGAGTTTATATACCTTTACACATTCAGTTCAAGGGGCTGAAGAACCAATTCAGTGTCAACTTTCTTATATTTCCTCTTCTTTTTGAGGGAGAAAGGTTGGAGAAGGTATCGGGATAATCGGCTTAATGGATCCTGCAGACCTTCCATTTCGTAGTGTCCAAACCGCCAATCTCTTTCGATAAAAGGCCGCTGTGTAGGTTCATCAAGGCCTCCTATCAACAGAAAATACGAAACAAGTCAGATCTCAGTCTCTGCCTCCAAAAGGTCATTTTCAAGTGAGCAATAATAGCAAGCAAGACAGTATCACGACATTCACGTAATGCATTTAAAATTGTGCGTTCAAACTTATACGCGAATTGGGACATAGATTTCATGGATCACCCTTCAAAGGTGTGCAACCTCAACGGTATCGATCATTTTATATTTTATATGCCAGGAACAAATGTCAAGTATAAGAGACTACAATAAACATGCAAATAAGGAGCCGTCATTGTACCTGCATACATCAAACCTTGGTTATTAACTTCCCGATAGAAAGGTCTTGTTTGCTTCTCTTTTGCAGCTTTTTGAAGTTCATTCCATGCTCTTTCCCTGTCTTCACGTGTAATTTTGCCTGTGGTTACCACCTAAAATCAACATGGATTATGATGGTTTCAGTAAAAATACATGAGTAGCACTGGGAAGGCTAATGATGGAATATCCCTGTGGAAAGGATAATAAACCTTTGAAAAGAGGTGATATGAAGGACGTGGGATTCGAGCAAGGCCATTGGCACGATCAACGGCTACAAGTCCAAACTTAGGACCATAACCATCAGCCCATTCCCAGTTGTCGGAAATAGTCCAAAACATGTAACCGAGCACAGGGACACCCTGTAATAAAGCAGGTCTGTTCTCAGTTCTGTAACTAACTGATTCCAGAAAACTAAATTCCAGATTCCCTGAACTTTAAAGCCAAACCTTGAGCATTGCTGCATAAACAGCAAGTAAATGTTCTAAAAGATAAGGTCTACGGATAATATCCGTCTCATCACTAACACCGTTCTCTGTAATTATGAATGGGACCTTAAGGTGTTTGTATCTTTCATGAAACTCTATTAACAGACGAAACAGGCCGTCTGGATAAACCCCTCGCCCTGATTCACTGTACTCATCAGTCTCTACTAGCTTCAGTCCGGCACCAGATATTACTTCCTGGCCAGCAGAAGAATAAGGTCGATAGGTTTATATGTGAAGAATAATACATTGCTTCGTAAACAGGAACTTTATTTTCTTCCAATAAAAATCAAATGAGAAAAAGGAACCTGCCCATAGTAGTTTATGCCTATAAAATCCAGCTTGTCACGTATACTATCCACATATGGAAAAATGGTGAGAGAATTGGCCAGCGTAACAGCAGCAACATCAAAGAGACCATATGGCCGTGTAAATGATACATTATGTGCTATTCCAACCACTTTTTTTGATGATGTACTGCTGAAATGAAATAGTATTTGGAATGTCATAAATTTGGGAAAATATGTCAAACGGGTAAGAGCGTGAATGATTTCTCCGGCACCAAAAAGATATAACTTGTTGGAAATTAATGATTTTTTTTAAATAAAAAAAATCCTTTTCGTAAGTCTTTATAAGGAAGAAAAAACCTTTGTTCATGTATATAGTCATAGGCCTTTGAATGTGAAACGGCCATCCAATGCAAGGCTTGCATAAAAACACCAGTTGGCATAGCAGAAGTGGCAACCTCCAGCATATCAGGATGACCACCGGGCCAAGCACCCGCACAATAAGTAAGCATACAGAATACATGAGGTTCGTTAAATGTTACCCAATAGTCGACCATATCTGATACGCTGTCGACAACAAGCCTGCATGATATACACATAAGAAATGAGTAATAAAATTGGTAGGACATGCAAAAACACAAAGTTCCTAAATTGAAACTAGCATAAAGTGGCTCCCAAGAGATGTGAATTAGCAGCCTAATATCTGTCTCATGGTCTACGTTAAAGTTTAGTTAAGAACAGCAACCTGTTGAATTCTTACCACTTTCGGAATTCGGACTATAAGTTTTTAACTCCAACAGTTTACCTTAGTTGCATGGAAAAAAAGTATCTTCAGAGATACAAAAACATAGAAGAGAAAATACTACTTGAGGGAATACTTACTTGGTAAACTCAATGAAGTAACCAACAGTTTTCTCCAGCTTCCATCCACCATAATCACCAGCCCATGGGGGCAGTGAGTGATGAAATAGTGTGAGCATCACCTTCATTCCATTAGACCGAACTCTGTTGATTATCCATTTATATCGCTCCAGTGCTGCATAATTGACCTAAAAGGGAACACCATACGAACAATCTAAATGTGGACTCGTTTGATTTGAATATAAGAAATCAAGGAAACTTGGATGCCATGCTGGAGTCTTAAATTTGAGCAACAATTACTTTTTATAGACAGGAAGAATCTTTTTCCCTTTCAGCACCAGTGAGAAAGCCTACTAGGTACCCTTTCAATTCTCTTTCACTTACTGAAATCCAGGGACCCCTTAACAGTCATTGCAGATAAAAAGGGCACCCCTATGTGTTGTAAGAATGTGCATAAGAGAAAGAAAGAGAAATAGGGGATATTTAAGCTATGGTCAAGCATTTGAGTTATCACCATAACTTTTTCTCCTGCCGCACCCATGGACAAACAAATATGTTTCAGTCGCACACCAAACCAAAATTTGATCCAAATTCAGTGAAAATGAATCACCTTGAGTTGGCATGCTAAACTCTCGACCATTTGTAACTTTTTCTGCCTATATCATGAAAAATGGAAAGACAATAGACGAAAAGCATTATTGCATACAGTACAGCAGCATCAAACTTACAGCATCGTTAATCCCATTAACTGGCTCCTGTGGCATGACTCGACTCCAGTCTATTCCCATCCGAAAGATACTGATGCCAGTATCTTTAGCCAGCTTCACTTCTGTGTCAGGATCAGACCAAAATTTTAATCTCTCCTCCCTGAAACAATTAAAGCAACTCATTTCTCACGTTGTAAAAGATCAGTGAGTAAGAAGAACCTCTTTTGTAAATAAAGGAATCGTTTATCAGATAATAAGATTTACGGGTGAGGAACATTGTGCCATGCTGCTACATTATGATGGCATTCCTCAGAGGAAGCAGTCTCTTTTCCTTCTTCTTCAGCCTCATCCTCTACAAACTTTTGTAACCCTCTTATCATGGCTTCCATGGCAACCTTAAGGGGCCTCTTCTTTTTGCCAGACTTTTCCCTAGCTAACGGAGCACTATGCGAACCACCATCAGCAGCAACACCCATCACTGCATCAGCTTCCACTGGATCATCATCACTTGTTTCTGATTTATGACAAGGATTTTCTTCCGCAAACTGTAGCCAAGCATCATTGAGCCTGTCTTCCACATGTGCTGGAGCTGTTGCCAATCCAAAGAAAAACCCATTTCCCTCCTCACCTAAACATATAGAGATCATCATATAGCACATAAATTATCAACAAACATATGGAAACCAAATGCCTCAACTTGTCACTTAACTAGTTACTATTAACTCCATATATACAATCAAGTTAAAAAAGTTGTCCCCTTTCTCTCTCTCTCTCAAAGAATAGCAAAATTAATTCTAATACTATAACCGTAAACTATCCAAATGAAGAAATAAAAGCAAACAACTTTATAAACAAGTACTTTTTCTCATGCACTTAGAAAGCTTCACTCTAAATGTACACAAACCAAGCTCAAAAGCCATAGACGAGCAACATTTAATAAAGCAATCAGAGGAAAAGAAGATTTAGGGTTTGGTTGAGTGTTGACCTAATTACCATTGACATTGAAATCAGCAAGAATATCGGAGGATTCGTCGATTGGAGAATCGAAGCGCCGGAGATGCTTTTTCCGGTAACGCGAGAAAGAGAAAGCATTGGCGGCGATGGAAATCGTCACTATGATTCCGGCGAGCTTCGTCGCCGAAAGAAACAAGGCCGTTAACGCCATTATCTTGTTTTTGTATTGAGAAATGAGATTTAAAAACTTGAAAAGACCGAGAGCTGAGAGTTTGAAATGGAGTGGCTAATTCATCGTATGAGACGGAGTCCGTTACTAGGGAATACGATAATCGTCCACGTGGCATATACCAGCATTAGGATAACATGGGGGACCAAAGAAGAGTAGTGTCGTGTACGTAACAGTTATTACGTTTTGTTTTTGTTGTGACGTGACGGTTATGGCTTCCGATGGCGCGTTGGTAAGTTGATGCTTCGGGTTCTCTCCCTTTTCCTTCGTTTTTTCCTTGCATAGTTTTTATCTTTTTCTTTATCAAAGTTTTAAAAGCAACAATTGATTATTAATATTATCAATTTATAATAAATGGATCACTCGAAGTTAATTATTAATGTGGGTGACAAAAAATTAAACTGAATTATTAATTATTTATCTAATTTATTGATCATTTATCTGATTCATTGATCAATCACTCATGTTATAAATTCTATAAAATCATCATTTTTTATTGGATCCATTTAGCATAATTTAGCAACAATTGATTATTAATATTATCAATTTATAATAAATTGATCACTCGAAGTTAATTATTAATGTGAGTGACGGAAAATTAAATTGAATTGTTAATTATTTATCTAATTTTTTGATCATTTATCTGATTCATTGATCAGTCACTCATGTTATAAATTCTATAAAGCCACCATTTCTTATTGGATCCATTTAGCATAATTTTACCCATTTTAAGAGTGCATCAGACTCATCCTAAGTAACAAATAATTCAAATTCGAATCGATTTTAGTTAAATTTTCGGATCGAAATCATTTTTATATCCCTAATAGTCATCACCTACCAACGATTTGATCAATTACCGTAAAAACATCTCTATTTTCCTAATTAATCCGATAACTTCTCCAATTCTTTTTCCCAACATCCATGTCCCCTAATTCATATATATATATATATATATATATATATATATATATATATATATATATATATATATATATATATATATATCCAAAAATAGTAATTATGTCGATTATATAAACATAGCCATGCAAAATTAATTGGTAGTTTACGTATTTGCATTTCACATGTTGAAGTTGAACTGGTTCTGTAAGTAGAAAAAATCTTCATCGTCGAAGCTAAAACCTGTGCCATCGCCCTGGTCGTAGTAACTTCCGATGGGACTCATTAAAGACGGCTCAGAGTAACCAACTTGGCTATCTCGGAAAAATCGTGTCGCAACCGTCTTTCGGTTGGGCCTCGAGATTGGGTTTCGACTTGAAAAATGTGGATTGGGAGTCGCCACCGATCATTTATTTAAAAATAAATGGATTGATCGGATACCCTATTTCTTACCTGATCTGCGTCTTACCAGAAATATATCGGGCTCGGGAGTCGGTTACGGTCAAGGAAGGATTAGCACCCTTGAACCGCCCTTTCGGTACTATATAATTTCCAGTTGTCTTAATTAAGAAAATTATAATTTTAAATTAAAAGGTAAAATTTGATCATGAATTACTTACCTCTGATTAATTGACGAAAATACCCTTAAAAAGTCATAAGATGTGTTAGAGGAAAAAATGAATAAATGAAAAAATAAAGAATAAAAATAAGTAAAAATAAATAAAAGGAAAAATAAATAAATAAATGAATGAAATATTAATATATATATATATATAAATGAATAAAATAGAAAAATAATAATCATTACAATAATAATAGTAATATGAAAATATAATATAATATAAAAAAAATCAAAAACAAAAATAAATAAATATATAAACCAAATATAAAATTATACATATAATGATAATTGACTTATAAATAAACTATTAAAAACATACATATATACGTATAATGATAAAGTAAAAAAATTAAATAAAGATAATTACAATATATATATATAGTAATAATACGCTTATAAGTAAAATATTTAAAAAATATATATACATATATAAAAATAATAAATATAGTATTAAAAAATAACCAACTGAATATAAATAAATAAAAAATATATGTATATATAATAATAATATATAGTGTAAAAAATCAATTAAAAATCATTTAAAAAAACATGCGTATATATATTTATATAATGACAATAATGTAAATAATAAATAAATAAAAATATCTATACAATAAATAAAAGGGCTAATATAAAGAAAAATAAAGATTGGGGCCAAATTTGAAAGACAATTAACGTTGATATTACGTATTAGGGAGATAAAAAATGAACACGCCTCAGGGTAGATCTAGGTTCGAAACTTCGAAACCCCACCCATCTTTGGTCATCGGCGCAACCCACGTTTTGGATTATTCGAACCAAATCTCAAAACAATAACGTGCACATACGAGAAATGAACGAAACAAAAAAAATGCTACCTTTTATTTCCTATTCGAATCGTTTACAATAGCTTTGCCTTTGTATTTTTCGTGTTTTCCTCTATATTTTGTCTGTAAATCGTGTGTCACAATAGTGAGCTACAATGACTATTTATAGTGCTTGTAGATCCTATCTTTAGGAGTTTAAATCATAGTAGAACTCTATCCTATTTTTAGGAGTTTGAATCCTAGCAAAATTCTATCCTATTTTTAGGAGTTTGAATTCTATTAGGACGAAAAGGTGTGTTGACAGCTGCCCCTCTTTGCCCATAATCGTGTAACGGGGATAGGGCAAAGATTAAAAGACACACATTTCGTTCGGTGGAGTTGAAAATTGACTCTGATGTTTCAATAACTCCCTGTCGAATTGAGTTACGGATGACTCCTCCGTCGTGAAGCCGATCTTGAAATGATATGAAATTGAAGCCGTAGTTCAGAATTTGAATCAGCACGTGGCTTCTCGTTGCCCTTCGATCTTCTTCTCGATTTAAAGACCTTGGATCGGAATCAAACTCAGAAATATTCATTGACAGATAGCTTTTGCTTGAAAATGATTGCTTGTCACTAAGGCACGGTTAACCCAGGTCCTCTTCTCAACTTGAAAACCTCGACTGCAACCGGAAAGTAGTACGATTGATGTGTCATCGAGCTGAATGGAATCGAACTCGACAATTTTGATGGCAGATAACCCTTCTAGCATTGAGTTATGCTATAAATGATGTGCCTTGGAGCTGAGCGTAGTCGAACTCGAAGGTCTTTGTTGACAGATACTCATTCTTTGAGTTGGATATCCTTCGTCGTGAAGTTGAAATCCAATCTAAAGATGGATGATGCTTGTGTGCACGATTCCCTTCTTCGTGAAGTTGAGCCTGAAATTGGATATCCTTCGTCGTGAAGTTGAAATCCAAGTAAGTAACATTGTTCCGAGTCTAATATCCTCCGTCGTGAAGTTGAAATTACTCTGGAACTAGGAAATTGTTTGTTGACAACCAGCCGTCCATTCGTTGTGAAGTTGAACTTGTGTTGTCTCGAGTCCAATATCCTTCGCTGTGAAGTTGAAATTGACTCTGAATGAAATTTTGTTGACAATCAACCGTCCCTTCGTCGTGAAGTTAAGCTTGTGTTGTCTTGGGTCCAAGATCCTTCGCTGAGAAGTTGAAATTGGCTCTAAAATTGGGAAGTAATTTATTGACAACCAGCGGTCCCTTCGTCGTGAAGTTGAACTTGCGTTGTTTGGAGTCCAATATCCTTCGCTGAGAAGTTGAAATTGGCTCTGAAATTGGGAAATTGTTTATTAACAACCAGCGGTCCCTTCGTCTTGAAGCTGAACTTGCGTTGTCTGGAGTCCAATATCTTTCGCTGCGAAGTTGAAACTAGCTCTAAAATTGGGAAATTGTTGTTGACAACCAGCCGTCCCTTCGTTGTGAAGTTGAACTTGTGTTGTCTTGAGTCCAATATCCTTCGCTGTGAAGTTGAAATTGGCTCTGAAATTGAGAAGTTGTTTGTTGAAAACCAGCGGTCCCTTCGTTGTGAAGTTGAACTTGCGTTGTCTGGAGTCCAATATCCTTCGCTGTGAAGTTGAAATTGGCTCTGAAATTGGGAAGTTGTTTATTGACAACCAGCGGTCCCTTCGTCGTGAAGTTGAACTTGCGTTGTCTGGAGTCCAATATCCTTCGCTGTGAAGTTGAAATTGGCTCTGAAATTGGGAAATTATTTATTGACAACCAGCGGTCCCTTCGTCGTGAAGTTGAACTTGCGTTGTCTGGAGTCCAATATCCTTCGCTGTGAAGTTGAAATTGGCTCTGAAATTGGGAAATTGTTTATTGACAACCAGCCGTCCCTTCGTCGTGAAGTTGAACTTGCGTTGTCTGGAGTCCAATATCATTCATTGTGAAGTTGAAATTGGCTCTGAAATTGGGAAGTTGTTTGTTGACAACCAGCCGTCCCTTCGTTGTGAAGTTGAACTTGTGTTGTCTCGAGTGGCACGATATCCTCCATCGTGGAGTTGAAATCGCGGATGGTCCATTCGTTGTGAAGTTGAGCCTTGACTTGAATATCCTTCGTCGTGAAGATGAAATCCAAGTATTGTATATTGCGGGTGGACACAATTCCCTTCGCCGTGAAGTTGAAACCGTGGAGACCCCTTTATTGTGAAGTTTGGCTTCGAGCTAGATATCCTTCGTCGTGAAGTTGAAATCCACTCTCGAGCAAATTGTGTTGTTTCGAGAGAAATTTTCAATATGTCGAGTTGGTCAAAGTGTAGCTTCTTGCTACTGAGTTAAGCAACCAACATGAATCTTTAAAGGTGCTTTTGAATCGAGTATCCTTCGTCTTGAAGTCGAAACTTGACTCTAAAAGCTGCAAAAAATTATGTATGTGGATAATGATAAATATGATGCTCTAAAATGTATGCATAAGATGCATGTAACATGAATTGGTTATATTTTATCTCCTGAAAAAGGTCTGATAATTTGCATTAGGATATTGAATCCCCAAATGATACCCCAATATCCAAAAAAGCCCCAATATTTGATGTTGAATCTTCAAAGATGCCCCAAATGTTCCTCATTTCTTGTTTCAGCATTGATTCTGAGCATGAGTTTTGTGTCTAAGAGTCACATGTCATTTACCAAGATCCATTCTAGAGAGACTGTCTTGTTTGAAAAAAAAATGTTTTTTCCTTTATTTTCAA